CAATCAATCAATCAATCAATCAATCAAAAAAGAAAAAAAAAGAAAAAGAAAAAGCGAGAAAACCCACTTTCGCCCGCGCAGCTTCGGCGTGGTGGTGTGTGTGTGTGTGTGTGTGTGTGTGTGTGTGTGTGTGTGTGTGTGTGTGTCTGTGGAACACTTTTCCTGCGAGCACGCTATCAACAGGCGAAACAATACCTGGATGTTTATGTTTCCCCTCCAAGGTCACTGCTTACGACGGGAGCAACCATTGCTCTGATTAAACAAGAAGCCGAAACTCCTGTCAACGATGTGCCCGATCTGATGCAGAAAATGATGGATCTAACAGGACTTACCGTGGAAGAAACCTTGGCTGATTCGGAAACGGACACCGAAGTTAAAGAGACCGAGTATTTTCTCTAGCGTCCATGACTGACGGGATCGGCCTACTAGTTGGATCGATATGCCTCTTGAAATACCCGATCGACCGACTGTCACTCTGCCCGATCACGTTCCCCTGGAATTCCGACAATCACGAATTAACGTCTTGAATGGGTACGTGGAGGTGTTAAGTGTGTACGATAACGATATCGGGATAACCAACGTGATTGAGCATGCCATCCTTACGGGGGATCACCCACCCATTAGCTGCGTCCCTTATTGATAATCGTCAGCCCAACGGGCGGCCGCGTTTCAGCGAATCAAGGAATTTGAGGCTAATGGATGGATCGAACCTGCAATAGGACCTTGGTCGTTTTCTGTAGTAATCGAGCCAAAAAAAGGCCAGAGGGATTCGCATATGCATCGATTATCGGAAGCTAAATGATATCACGATCAAAGATGTGTATCCCCTTCCCCGGATTGATGAGTTGTTGGATGCGATTGGGAGTGCCCGATTTTTCAGTAAGTTTGATGTTCGATATGAGTTTCATCATCTTCTTGTTCAAGAGGAGGATCGTCCCAAAAAGGCGTTTGTACTGTTCGAAGGAACTTGGCAGTGGGTTAGATGTCCGATCGGCATCTGCAATGCTCCAGCAACCTTCCAGCGAGTCATAAATATAGCTTTTGAGAACTTTGTGCGGAAGACACGAATGGCGCAGAGCATCATCAATTATTGTGTAATCGTGTATATGGATGATATTCTGGTCTATTCGAGTTCTTACGAGGGGCGCGTGCAGTACATCGAGTGGACGCTGCACGCTTTGAGAGATGCTGGTTTCAAGGTGGCGCTCGAGAAATGTCAGTTCTTTCTCACCACCATTTCCTTTCTGGGACACGTGGTGACAGACCATGGACTCAGATCGGAACCGCAAAAGGTGGCAGCCGTGAAAGACACGCCTGTGCCCATGACCATCACGCAAGTTCGCCTTTTTGGGCCTGGCCTCATACTACCGAAGGTTTATCAAGGGCTTCGCAGCTATTGTGGTTCCCCTCACGAATCTGCTGAAAAAGGATCAGCCGTTGATCTGGACGCCAGAGTGTGATCAGGCGTTCTCGAAGCTCAAGGCAGCCCTTATTTCGGCCCCGGTCCTTATAAGACCGGATCCTGCGAAACCTTTTGTCCTCATCACGGACTGGCAGCCGGAGGCAATCTCAGCGATCCTGGCGCAAGTGGGACCCGGTGGACTCGAATGCGTGGTGGAATACGCGTCTAAATCGGTGCCTGCTTGCAAACGCAACTACGCCGCCCCGACAGGAGAATGCTATGCGGCTCTGTGGGGAATCAGCCACTTTCGAGCCTATTTGTATGGGCGGAAGTTCACATTGGTCACCGATCATGAGCCATTATTAGTCCTGAAGAAATCGAAGGATTACTCGGGCATGATCGAGAGGTGGGCAACGGTGCTACAGAGCATGGACTTTGACATTCGTCCTCAGAAGCACGAGAGGCACGGGAACGCTGACGGATTGATACGGCTGCACCGACCCGAGAAGGTCCTCAAGAGCGAGGAGGTGATTTCGTGGAACGAGCCGAAGGAGGAGAGCAGACCGCGATACGGACAAGTGGAAATTCTGTCGAAGGAGTGAGTGTCACGTAACTTCGCTCTGCCCTTTCTGAAGCCCTGCTCGCTCTCGCTCCTTTTCTCTCATCATGGCTACCCCACCTGTCTCTGCGACCCCTTCTTCCCCTGCTGATTCCGGCCCTCTCGCCTCATCGGTCTTTTTCGCCACCCTTCCCGACAGATTCTGCTATTTTTGCACCTGTATTACGTGGGTCTATGGGGTGAATTGTCATCCTTTTGAAACTGGATTCGTTGAGTGGGTGAACTGTGCCACGTGTGTCAATCGTGCACACGGTGCATGCGTTCGATACCGAACTAATAGCAGGGAATGGAAATGTCCTCTGTGTAGAACGGCCAAACTGCTTACTGAAGTTCGATTCGAGGCTGCCCGTACGGACGGTCCACAATACGACGAGAAATACCAACGAGCAGAGGTCTGGACGGATAAAATCCTATTAGCTAAGCTGGCTGATTTACCATTGGATCATCTCATTAAGCACGACAGACGTCGGACTACTTAGAGATCTTGGGATTACCGATGGATCAACGGTCATCTAGAAAAGCGTAAAGCTCACGGATCGGGTTTGTGGTTGACGGTTCCTCATCCATTCCAAAGATATGATTGGACCCAATTTGCTCATGAAGAGCAGGCCGCTCACTTCGCGATATGTGTCACGGAGGCAACTATAGACCAGAATCGATGGTTCTGGTCTAATATCCGGGACGATGTCAGATATGTAGTCGCCAAGTGTCTGGTCTGTGCCGCCGATTGTGCCCCAATACGGGGACCAAACACGATAGTACCGACAGAAGTAGAACGCCCTTTCCAGCGAGTCAGTATGTATACGACAGATATCGACATGCCACCTGGCCCAAACCGTTGCGAATATTCCATCCATTTAGTTTTAATAGATCATTTTTCCAAATACATCGCGGTATACCCCTGCAAGACCCGTAAGGCCGCAGAGATAGCCGCGTACATCGATCGGTTTCTCTATACTCACCTAGATACGGAAGAAATTCTAACTGACAATGGGTCCGAGTTCAAAGGTGAGGTGGAGGAATTGCTCGCACGAAGAGGCATCACGCTTCAACACACGGCACCCCACGTTTCCCAGTCGAACGGATTGGCCGAAAATACCAATCGCATGATTAAGACTGCCCTTTGTAGAAATTTAGCGGCGCATGACACGCATCCTTGGCCCGAGATTGTATACCAAATCGTCGAAATTCACCGGGCCACCCCTCATGAATCCACGGGGTTCACCCCCTTCCAGCTTTGGACCAATAGCCTCCCATGTATCGATTACCGGGGCAACTCAGAAACTGCCGAAGCCGGGGGTAGAGACACGCGTGTCGCCCTTAAGGCCAAGGCCAAAAGGTACGCCGATTTAATGGAAAGGGCTATTCCTAAGCTAGCCCGAAAAAGACAGAAAATGACTGATCTAGCCCACGGAAGACAAGTCCGTAGCTACGAGGTTCGAAATGGGAACGTCGGTCCCCAACATCAATATAAATTAGGGGACCTGGTACAGGTACGTAAATGTGCACGCGACCGGAAACTCGCTCCCAAGTTTCTGGCTGTTTCCGCGTTGTTGAGCTCGGACCCAACGGTGCCAAAACGGTGCGCATCGCGCCGGAGGCAAGCGCCAGTCATAGCTTTGTCCCCATCGTCTGCCATACCTCTTATATCCGTCCTCTCCCTCCCTCTCATCTCCCTCGATCCCCCTTATCTGCTGAAGAAGAGGGCGATGACGATCTAATTCCCGCCTCGCTCTCTCCCTCCCGCTCCCCTCTTTCATCTTCTTCCCCGTCCTCGCCATGAGTTTCATCACGGAGCAAGCTCTTGGCGATCATCTGTTACAGCCACGTGGCTACATCTCTGAGATCCGACAAGTTTGTCATCCGCGTCTCAGTCCCGATTTTCGAAGAGTGGCGCAGTTCTTCTGCACCCAGGGAGTGTGTGCTGTTGCAGCGTTCCGATTCGCCGGGAGTCAGCAAACAGTGATATTGGCGGAGGTGGTGGCTCTTTATCGACGAGCGGCTCCAGGGACGAGCCACGTCACCACGGTAGCTGCCTTCACCGGCGACATCAGCGCGGTCAGCCCACTACGGCATACCGCGATCTTGATCTCTCTACGAGAGTGGACGCATCAGTTGTCAGTTGAGTGGCATCACGGCCTTGCGCGTCCAGGGAACAATTTGATCCCGACATCCGGAACTCATTTCGACGGAATTCGCACCTCTCCCCGCTAGGCGGCAGTCGTGCTCCCCACCCTCATCCCCTTCCAATGCCCCCAATGAACCGCGCCGCTCCTCTTGCTCCTCTCTCCACCTTTGGTATCCCCTCTCTTTTTCCCACCTTCTGGCAATCCGATCTCCATCCTCGTCTTTCTTTCCTGTTCGAGCCTCTTGTCGTCCCGCTTCTTGATCCCGGGCATTGGCAGGTGTGGCGCGAAACCTTTGTCGATTTGTCTGTGTGCTTGGCCCGGGTGCAGGTGACGTGGACGCGGACTAGTGAGCATCCTGCGTGTATCGAGTACCTGGAGCTGTTGATCCTGCAGGCTTGGAGAACGGACGTGGAAGGTGATCTTCCTGGTTTCCTCTTTGGATCGGTGCGGCCGGACCATCGCCAACCGATTACTAAAGAACTCGTCATTCCGCTCGTGCAACTGGCTGACGATCTCTCCCTTGATATCGTTTCGCAAAGCGACGACAGTCCTGCTCCGCATGTCGTCACATGGACATTGGCGTCGTATCTTCAGTGGTCTGCGTGCTTGGAAGAACCCGGGAGTGACACCACTTTACCATCGCGGCAGGAGTATTTGAAGCCGTACGGGATTATCGATCGCGCCTTCTATCCGAGGGAAGAGCCTGAGGAGGCGCTTGAAGGAGAAGAGGAAGCCACTGAAGAAAAGGGCGATGCTGACAAGGAAACGTCGGAGGAGGGAAGTTATAGTGAGTACAGCGAAGGGGAGCAGAGTGAAGAAGAGGAGGAGGTAGAAGAAGAAGAAGACGAAGAGAAGGAAGCCGGATCGGAGTGGGAGGACTTGCCAGAAGAAGCGGCGCGCACCGACACGGAGGCGGAAGATCCCGAAGCGGCACGTAGAAGGGAAGAGATCGCCGCCGAAAAAAAACAGTTGGAGATCGCCAGCGGGGCGAGCTTGTGCATCAACGACGAGCCAACCAGGGATCCAGAGCCCCCCGAGCCCGAAGATGGCGGATCAGCAGCCACGGCTCCAAGCGCATCGCGACGGAGACGGAGCGGATCCCCCTCCGCCTCCAACCCAACCCGTCCTCCAGTTCGTCCACGTACAGATGGGGGGAATCGGCCTTCGTCCCCGGTCATTATCCCACCGTCCCCTTGATCACCTCACCCTCAGCCAAATCTCTACCCCCGTCACCTTCCCTCGCCCTTCCCTCCAATCCGCAAACCCCATGTTCTGTTTACACGTTCTCTTGTTTAGTGCCCCATGGGAACAGAGTAACGCAGTAAAAGTCTACTGCGTAATCACAGGAACCATCCCAGCGTATCGCCATCACGAGCTGTTTCGCGCGGCACTCTTCCGCACTTTCTCCACCCTTTACCCTAACTACCTCGCCTCCCTCCCTCACAGCGGCGATCGGTTTTCCCACTTTCACCGGATCATCCGCTACGAGGAGCTCCCGATCACGGAGGAAGGGATGAACCGATACTTACCCCCCCTTCCCCCCAACCCTCCCCGTCAACACCCCCCCATGTATAATGTCTACTTCCCCATTCCCACACTACATTGATACCCGCCACGTGTCCTCCGAGCAGTACTAATCAGCAGTTCTCGCGAAGATCACGCTATTGACAATGACGTCAACTCATACTCTGATTCGATGAACTGCGCTGGACTGGAGGTGCAGAGTACACGGAGATCTGATGGACCATTACGGTGTCACCTGGACGATCTCTGAAGTTCGAAGGACAGGGGGTTGCATATGACAGGGCTGCAGGGAGCGGGATCCGAAACAGTATCGCTCGGCATGCTTCACGGAGATCTTGCCATGAATGTTGTCGACAACTCATCATGCCGATTCGAGCTCCTACTTCTTCCTGCTTCTTCGTCTCTTCTCTTCTCACCCCCCCCCCCTCGTTCCTTGTACTTCTTCCTGCTTCTTCGTTTTCATGCAATCAGGAGATTGCATAATTTTGGAACCCCCTACGCGTCACATATGTGACGAACCACTTCCCAACCCCGTGCTATCTTTCGCACCCCTTGACTCAATATCCTCCTGCTTGTGTCATACCGACCCCACAAAACCCTCGTCGCTTTTATTGATTTTAGGCGCCTTGTTTGGGCCCCCATTTTTTTCGGAAGTTCTATTGATTCTTGGAATTCTGTTTTTTTGTAATTCGAAAAACACACGGGAAATTACGCGCGCCTGAGCGAGCGCACGAGGAATCGGGCTCGACAGTTAGGAATTACGGAATAAGCGGAGCCCGACGTATCTTTTTCCTTGCATGAATGTTCTCGGTCACGACGGAGAAAACTCTAGGAATTTTGTGAGAATACGGATAGACATAGGACTTTCTTTTCCCGCGTCGACTTTCGCGCGAGGATATGGTGATTTCAATTTTGAATTGGTGTAGGACATAGGCAAGCTGTAACTTTTTTGGTGTTTTTTTCTCTTGTTGTCGGCACCTCGCATGCGAGCTTCCTCCTCCTTATTTCCCGCGTCATTCTCTCTTCTCTCTCCCTTCCGCCTCCTCTTCTTCTCCCATCGCAACTGTTTTTCTCCCTCTCTCTCTCTGCTTTTTGCGCGCCTGTTTCCCCTTCTTGATCATCTGAATCTTGGACCCATCTCGTGCTGCTTTTCGCGCCTCGTCTCTTCTTGCTCTTCAACCTTGGCTTTCGAAGCCCGGTCGATCCTCCGATTACCCCGGCTCACCAATCAGACGCGTTGAGTAAGAGGATCTTCCTATTGCGCGACGAATCTGATTGGCCGACCATCGGGTTCTGAAGGATCAACATGGCTTCCCCTGAGCACCCTTCTGACTCTCTTCCCCCATCTATCTCCTCTCTGACTCTTCCCCCATCTATCTCCTCTCTGTCTCTTCCCCCATCTATCTCCTCTCTCGCAACTATAAATTCCGCAAGCGCGCCCGCAAAACTCTCTTACGTTCTCAACTCTCAAGCCAGCTTCCGGGAAGCAGTGGCTAGGTGAGGTGTTTGGTGCGAGTCGGAAAGTCTTGTCGGGCCGACAGTAGGCTGGCCGGTTGCRCGTTGGATTCCCACGACGGACTGTGGAATCCGGGCGAGCCGAGTCGAGTCTACGTCGGCGRGGTGACGATTGYAGTGGCGGAAGTTAGCATGCGACGRCCGGGATCGTCAGTGCGGGTGTGAGGATYAGTAGTTGGAGTTGATTGGATGACTGACCCGGGGCCATATTAGAATCTCACGGCGAATGCGCCTTCATTGTTGCGGATCATTTTTGGTGTGAGTTCACGRCTGCAAAKCCGAATGTTCCCTTGTTGAATTCCGGTGTCTCCTGTCCCGACCGTTCTTGTYTATCTCCCCCATCTCCCTCTCTTTCTCTCTGAATGACGTTGTGTTATGAGTTTGTATCTCTCTCCTGAATCGAAGTAAGCCCTCGTGATTCCCCGTAAAGAAGAACTTCTTCCGGAACTCTTCCAATAGTTTCCTGGGTAATCCCCGGATACAAGGAACTCAATCACCTTGTCTTGTGAACGGTGGATGCGTCTGTACAATCCCCCGATTCATCTTTGACGTGTGCATTATTGTTATTTTCGCACCTTCTACAGTGGATGTATGTATAGAGATGCTTGTATTTTTGCGTTGATTAGACCCAGAGCTCGACGGGATTTTGTTCAAGAATGCAAGAGTGTTTAGATTTGTCGTTCCAAACGCACTGCGCATGCCATCTGCCTTATGCTGCATGACATCAACAGATAGTCTGTGGGGCAGTCTCGAAAAAAACTAGGCGCCCTGTGTTTTGTTGATCTGGTCTGYCGAAAACTGAGTCGCGGGTTGATCCCTCGGAACTTCAACTCATGTTTGTGYGGGTTCCGTAGGATGCTTCTCTCGTGTCTAAAGGAAGGAAGGTACTAATTAGTCTTTTTTGTGCTTTTTGATGACGTCTCGAGGATTTGTGCAAACTCTGTTGGATTTATTGATATGTGGACTAACGGCCGCTCCTCGATCGGGCGCCAGCCTTCCGTATCTCCCTCGCCAACGCGCCCCTTCCCTTAYAGCGARGARAGGACACGTGTATGCGAGTGGGACRTACGGRAAGYTGTYGCACGCATCGGCGGACAATAYTACTTCCCTMCTGAAAATCGTTGTTCCGGGTTCGTGGATGCGGGCTTTGTCATTATCGATACGCACTTTCCACCCTACTCAGTATTGTTGCCATTTAACGAGTTGATCGTCATTCCGTGGACGGCAGTGGCGCCCCATTGGCCTCGAACCCTGTGCACTGAATGCCAGCGTTTCGATCGCTACAAATCAAAGGGCTTCCACTACCAGATAAGGAGTGAAGACGAGCACAAGGAAAGAGCCACGCGGCTGAGACCATCCACGTCAAACTCGGAACTGACCAACGAGCGACGGGACTTGATACAGAAACGGGATACGCGGAGTGTGCCAAAGCCCTTCCGCTCTAAACGAAGATCCGTAGCGCGGTGGGAAGCTCGACAATAGTTTTTGGATTGAATTTGGATTTTTCTCGTTTTGCGCCGTGCCCGCGCGCGCATTCCGCGGCGCGCGAAAGCAACCAACTTACTTCATCGGGCCAACACGGGGGGATTTCAGTTCTGTCTATGTCCCCACACTCAATTTTTCAAAAATCCTTGGCACACCCCATCTTGCTGTCTTTCTGGGCCTTCATTCCGTACCTTTAGCACTCTGAACGAAAGATAGCACAGGGCATGAGGTTTGCGCGTCACATTCATACCAAAAAAGACATAACGCAGGCCGTCAGGCAATTCTCAAGGGATTGGCTGGGAAGTGATCAGGGGGGCAAAGTGGCTCATGTTCGATGGGATGGAGAAGATAATATGAGACGAGACTATATCATCTGTTTTCGGGACTGGACTAAGGTGGATGCAGCAATACCGCTGCGCTCCCCCTTGGACTTCCCCGACCCCTTTCCGCCCCATGGTCTGTCAATGGTGGATTTCCAGTGGTATGGGGCAGAGTGAGGCAGAGTGAGGGAGAGACAGTTATAACCTCGCACCCACAGTTTGGATGCCCAGCAGCAGGGCCGAAGAGGCCCCTCTTCTTGCCTTTTTGAGCCTGCTCAGTCAATCCCCTGTCTTCAGGGTAATGAATGCTGGCAGGTTGGAAGACAGTCAGAAACATCTCAGCGTGATTGAAATGGTTGTTATGTAAGGGACACTGGACCCGATTTCCAGCAGGTGTTGCTCCCCACCAATAGACGGAGCCTCCCTGGGGGAGATGGAGGTGTTTGCTCGTACCAGCGCCCCTATCTCCCATATGGGCTGTTCAAAAAAAAAAAAAAGAACCTATGAATTTGTGTATTATGCTGCCGTTATTCTTGTTTTTCTCTTGATTGCATTTCGGGTGGAGCCCAGGGTACACTCACACTACCGGTAGGACTTGTTCAACTCAGCTCTGGACATGGTTGCAGCCAGATGCATCCACCCCCCCGATCGAAATCACTCTCAGATGCATTTAGAGAAGTTCTAGTGTGAGGATGCTCCCACTGTCCAGAAAAGGCTGATATTGCGGTAATGGAGACTTCTGCACAACCGAAAAAAGAAGAAAACCAGAAAATCAAAAAAAAAAAAAAAAAAAAAGAAGAAGAAAAAAAAAGAATGTGGCACAGTACAGTGGAGTGGATGGCGGTACAGTGTGGAGTGGAGTGGAGTGTCCCTCCAATAGACTAGATCAAAACGTTTTTGAGAAAAGAGGGAAGTACGTTTATGTCACATGGGAGTTCGTAATTGGCAGAAAAAACAGGCAGTCGGCAACTCTGACATGGCCTGATTTCGAAAAGGCGGTTGTAACTCAGGCCGGCAGTGGTGTCAGGGTGG